AAGTTCAAGTCGAGGAACACTTTGATTCAGCATGATCCTTGACTAGTTGGATTTTTCCCATACCATACAGTTGTTATCTACTAATCACTCCTAAACTGAACGTTTTAGATTCGAATCTCGAACCCTGCCATTCGGCCAAGAAATCTTAATCTGAAGTTCTAGAATTACAGTTCTAATGTTCTAGTACTAATGTATTAGTGCCCTAGATAAGATGTCGAGGCAGCTGTAACAACAAAAGAGACAGCCAGTAACCAATTGATAAAAAAACGAGGGAATGACACACATTATCATACGATGGGAAAATATATGCGAACCAAACCACTGCACTGCGGTATTACTATTATGGTAAATGAGCTAAATTAAACTGCAGCCAACAGATCTCAATCCAGGGATTACAGACCAATAATGGTCGAGGCAGTGAAGTCAATTATAATTATAAAGTGGGGTACTGGTCAGTGGTCAAGCAACAGTCTGGCCCGGATCCAGTGCCAAATTATTTTGGGTCCGGTATTCTTGGTACATATATCATGGTTTCATGGAATCAGGAAATAAATCAAAAGTTGAATTCTGGTCATTACATTTTGGCTAAATTGGTGCCAATGAAAATTAATTGTTGGAGTTTTCACAAATCATGCAGTAGTTAAACTTATTTACTGATGACTCCTAAAGTGAGTGTTTTTCAGTATAACTATATGACGTGCATGAGTCGGCAATTGCAAACAATTTGCTGTTAGCGGCCGATCCTTTGACCTTAAGAAACCGTAATTTTGAAAAATTGCCCTTTCGTAAGACACAAATATGCTGCTGGCTTGGCCCATTATGATTAAGAGAGATGCCCAATAAAGTAAATCATTCTCCAATTTTTGTAGGAGTTTCTGGACACAAAGTGAGTCATCTTACATCTTGTGACAAATGTTGCTCATGAGTCTTTAAGACCTTTCTAGTTAACAGACAACAGTCCAATAGCCCATTTGTGAATATTGTTATTTTCGCTCGGCAAAAATCCGTTTTTCAGCCATATTTCCGAAAATAAGCCTTTTAGGGTATATGTTGCTTCATAAGTTGTATATCAATGTGGCCATTAGGCACATTTTGGTGTATCAGAATAGTCTCTACGACCTTCCTAGGCGGAAATGCCAAAAATCACAGAAATTATGAACTGCGTCAAGCCAAAAACCGTTTTTCGGCCATATTTCCGAAACGAAGCATTTTAAGGTATATGTTGCTTCATAAGTTGTATATAAATATGGCTATTAGGCACATTTTGGTGTATCGGAATAGTCTTTAAGACCTTCCTGGGCTGAAATACAAAAATTCGACTGACCGCAAAACCCTGAAAAAGGGTGTGGCCGAAAACGCCACTATTGCATTTTTTTCAAAAATGCAATAGTGTCCAAATGTTTTAAGAATCATCTAGAGAGGTGATAATCGTTGAGAAATCGCTTTTAACACGAAAAGCTAACGAGATTCCGTTTCGTCTCTGACTATTTGAGACAGTTCTTCGATTAAAATACACAATTTCTGATCTCAAGACGAAGTTTCTAGAACAGGCTGTGCAGAACTAGAAACGCACCAAGTTACTACAAAGACTATTTAGAACTAATGCCGGTGACTGTTTTGATCTAATAAGCAAGGCAAACGTACTGAATAGAACTAAGTACCTAGCTGGTGTCATGTTGAATATATAGCTAAATACCTAACTACGTAACTAGTTTATAATGCAATTAGAATTTGAATTGGAATCAAATTTGTATGTATCAAATAAAATGATGAAATTAAGTATAGCCAATATAAATGTCGTATCGATAGAAACAACATCACATTCAGGAATAAAGAAAAGCGAATTGCAGAGAGTCTGACAGAATGTCTTGAGTCACAGTGACACACGTCATCTACCCAAATGATATCTACAATTAACTCCAGGAAAAGGCTGCATGATGCTAAAACGGGACAAATTTACCGCTCATTTCAGCTTTGCAATGTCAGAAGCAAATTGAGAAACGAAATTAACAACACCAACACTTAAATATATTTATAAAACGAGCACTAAACATTTGAGAGGAGCTGATCAGAGGAATTACAAGAATGTGATTATATTACGTGTATACTGTAGAGGTACACACAAAAACAAAAAGAACTTGAACGCAAATAATATCCGGTAAAATTTAGTGATATAACAACCAAATCAGAGTGAAATTAGAGGCAAATTATGTTTTTTTTTTCAGAGCGAAATCAGAATGGAATTATGTTTCCCCAGAGTGAAATCAAACTTGGAATTAAGCTTTTCAGTGCTCTACACTGCTGAATTAACACTCTGTCTTGTGGAAGCTGACGAAGGATTAATGGATTAAGAGTGTGGCACCGGACGACTTAAAGAGGAGAGAGGAGGGGAGAGAGGGGGATGTGAAAATGTAAATATTTAATATACCGACCAATTTAACAAGCACGCCACAAAGCAAACACTCCCAATATTACCTGATTCTTAACCGCTACTCACATGATATAAAATAATATGTGCAGTAAGCATTGTAATCAAAGGTGTATGTGGCATATAATATACTGTGATCAGGTTTATTCAAAGAATAAGCGGTTAGTTATTATAAAGCGGCTGAAAGTTAGAATAAACTCCAGGATCATGGACACGAAGTGCGGGGACATATTTGTGGAATAATATTTTGAGTGGCATGTTTGAGAAGGTGAACCGCACGGAAAAGAATTAGAGGGGAGCGGTGAAGTTGAGGGGAATACAGTTCCAGAGAAGCGAATCGAGAGCTTAGCGAGGAAACGTGAATCTGTTAAATGTACGAGAGGTGTTCAGTGTTCACCATATATGTTGTGTGACATTGTGTACGGGTGTATTTATTTTGTGAAAATATAATCAAATTTTAAGGAATCTTAAAATTGTTGGAAACGTGGAGGAGAATTAGTAATGATCACGTGACCTATATTGCAGTGTCAGAGTTACTGTTACAGTGATGTCACGGTGGCATGCCCGATACGGACATGATGATTGGCGGGGGTAGGAAGTGAAAGTGGGTGTCTGGAAGTGAGCAGTGAAAGTATGCAGGAGTGAATATTACGTGATGTAAAAAACAGCAAGTAGCTCTCTTTTTTGTATGTAAAGAATTGGGAAACTTTCATGTAAAAGTTAGTCACGCACCGTAATCACTATTTCACTAGAAGCTTCCAACTGTATTTTAGTAGAAATAAAATTATGCGCTTAAAAATTATATGATTATGAATTTTTGTCATAAAATTTCCGAAATTGCTATAATTTCTTATTCTTAATTTATCTCCTTCAATTGCTTTCGTAAAAGCATAAAACTGTAAAGTTTCACTTGCGCTGATGATTGATATCTATTTGATCTGAATTTTTGATTCATCATTATAAATTGTTATTTGTAAAGAGTATCGACAAAACTCCAGTTTCCACTGAAATATAGTTCTGATTTGTCAACCAAAGTCCAACATCTGCATGTATTGTATTCTACAAGTGCAAGCTAGGGAGGGTTCGCCAACTAGGTGCCATTTATAAAAAGGAAATTACTTAACTGTAAAACAATCAAGTTATACATTGACTTGTCATCCTGGCTGCCCAAGTGACAACAGCAGTTATTATAACAGACATCAGTTAACATCGTTTATATTCTGCAGAAATTATCTAGAAACTCCCAAATTATCCGGAGAAAAGATTGGAATGTTTGGACGTAAAGGAAACAGTTTACGTGAGTTACTTATACGGATTAACCAAGATGGGACAATAAACCAATTCATCTGCAGAAATCAGATGATTTCCGCAGACTGCAGAGATCACGGCAAGACCAAATTTGATATCAGGAAAGGACCAAGAACGGAAACTGAAGACAGAGGGACACCAGTCCCGACACTTGGTGCGGAAATGTAGTTAGCTCGGGCGAAGGACTGTGCCAGGTAACGGGGTACCACAACACTACCTTAGCTCGATATCATCTTGTGATGAAATTAATATCATTTAATTGTTAACACATTTATCTGGAGTCGTCTGTGTTTTGTGCTGCAGACTCAAGACAACAGCATTTTGACACAAGAAGCCCTCACGACCTCACACTGAAACTATTCAAACAGCACTTAAAACAAGTCGAGTAACTAACTAAAGAGTCAGTCCGCCAACTCTCACATTCTGCGACAATAAAAAGCGGACGAGAGCAGAACAGAATGTAGCAAAAGAGCCCCTGACCGAAATAATTTTCAAATATATCAAATTCCCAAACTAATGCAATATAATGGTTGTAGCTCAATGTCCAGGGTTGAACGAGGTATCAACTTACGCTCAGGACGGAGGTGAGGGGTGTCATATATTTAATTATAAATACAATGGAGGGATCAGAGCCGGGGCTTGAGTTGTCATGACGATCTTGAAGGAGAGTCGGGGTGATCATCGGTAGAAAGGTGGTCTTTCTGATTTAGTAAATTTAAACATATTTGGTCTAAGTTATACTGAGTTGTGATATTATATTCGGGATTTTTATTCAATATAATTAGATCCCGGAACGGAGTGCTATTTGGAATCTGGATCAGAAGCCGGGGATTTTGCAGAAGGAATGTAAGTTGTGATTACGGAGTCGCCAAACAGTTGCACTTCTAAGTTAATCAAGTGTGTATCCAATTGGATTCGCTCGACACCAAAAAACACAGCTGCAATGAAATTAAGATAATAAAGTATTTAATCTAAGTAAGGACTCAGATTATGTTTTATATGGGAAATAAGAACCCAGAAAAATATAAAGAAAGAGGACTCGGCTGTTACGGACCAGTGGAGATGTTTTTAAAATATCATGCAGAGCACAAACAAAAGCAAATATGAAACAAACGGGTTCTTAAAATGACTCACGCAGTCCAACATAAGAGTCTGGTAATTACACCCAGGAATTTGGTAAGAAATTTACGGAATTACCACTAAAATTCCGGTTATTCATCGATTAAAACAGACATATTATTCGCATATCATTAACATATCTTACCTTGATCTCTCCTCGTCACTGTCGACTACCGAAACACTCTCGGAAGTTGACTCTATTTCGCTGGACATGACGGAGCTTGTGTCGCTGAATATCGAACTAGCGTCGGAGTCGTCATTATACCCAGACCTTGGAGAGGTATGTTTGAATAAATAATTATTCAAAATTATCAATGATATATTAAATTAAACCTCACACAAGACCATGTGGGGGCAGACACTGCGGTACCTGTAACATCATATCTCCACATCCATCAATAACAGTCAATGGACAGCGAGCCAAAGCAGTGACTGGTACATGTGTCAGCTACAATGTTGTATACCTCTTCAGTTGCCAACTTTGTAACATGTGTTATGTAGGAAGAACGGTGCAGCCCCTCAGGGCACGAGTAAACGAACATCGCGCCCATTACTACAAACTCATTTCGGACAATACGTTTGTCCCTGAAGAAAACGACGACGGATTCAGCTTGGGTAAACACCTTGTAGAAGTTCATAACATGAAACAACGTGACAATTTTAACCAGGCTTATAAAGTGTCAATTCTCAGTAATAGTAGCCCAAGAACTCTAGAAGTGGATGAACACCGTTATATTCAGAAACTTAGAACTATACGTCCATTGGGGCTCAATGCCATGGACCCGTTTGGGATTCCATTATTGGATTTATCTTAAATGTTTTCTATTGCATTGGGGCACAAGAGTTATGTTTTTAAAAAATATTCATATCGTTTTTAGTTGTGTCATTTCATTTCCAATGTTACACTTTGTAGGAACTGATATTAACCGAGTTTCTGATTCAGGATGTTACTGAAGATAGTAATGAAAATGTTTTAACGCCTCAGTACTGTGTATTACTACAGCTCAACCTGCTCAGTCTGACTATTTGGGAATTTAAACTCTTGAAATTTTCATTATAATCAATCAACCCGATGTATGCTCAAAAGGAATTTTCATAAGAGTCACAAATAGAAATTTGCCATAAGATCTATCTTAAGAATCGCACGATTGCATAGTTTCAAGCCACTTCATTTCACTCTCTACCACAACTCATGATATTTCCACACCCCACTACTTAGTCAAGCTACTCAACATTTAGTATATTATTCAAATCACTGACATTATTTACCTAACACATCATATATTCAAGTTGCTCACTATAGTTAAAATTTACCGACAACTCCTCCAGACCACTTGTGTTTAAGGTGCCAGCAAGATGACCGGTTTTTGTTGACAAATAGTCTCCACGACTACGAGTCGAACGACCCTCAGTTTATCCAGCTGAAACTCAGCTCTGGATACCAATGACAGATGATTTCCGTTATATTTACCCTATTTTCCCTGCTCGTTTTAAGCGGCTAGTCATTATTATTCCTGCTATACAGCCCGTTATAAGTAGGTTAACCCGTTAGCACGTCTAACACCAAGTAGCTAGGGTCTCGTGGAGACCTGGGCTGATAGTGACCCAATACAGGAGGGGAGGGGGCACAATGACCGTCCCCTCCTACTAATCATAACCGCAGGGAAGGTGTTTAACTTGAGGTGGGACAGGGCTTATCCGCAGCTGTAAGTGAGCCATGAGGTGTCCAGGGCGAGGAGGGTTACATTGACTAATGACTGTTGGTACCAGGGTGGTGTTTTAATTATATCCACAAACACCAAAACTTAATGAGTAGTGACTGGGAGTGTTTTATGATATTTTTATAATCCAAATTATTTGTTACAGGTCCCCACCCCGCCTTCCCCACCCCGCCTCCCTGACCACTGAACAAGAGGCAGTAAGGCATGTGGTTTACAGCCGGCTAGAGGCTCAGGGACCTAGGTGGCCACCTCCAGCCTTTTCGGCTCTTCAATCCTCAACGAGGCTCACTAGGACCACACTGTCATATTTAGTTTCAAACTTTATGCTGGGCAATCCTAGTTATTTTGAGTATGTGCCAATTAATGTTGCAATCTGAGATTCAAGTCTGATGCCCTCACCCCTAAATATACCATCTCTCATGTCTGTTTCAGGGTGCATCTAAGTGGTTAGTGGGGTTAAGCTCAACTAGTGCCAATCAGATTAGATTAAGTATGGATAGTGGTGCATGTTGTAAGTTGTAACTCGGCCAGAACTAATAACTTATCGGTGTTGCTGATCACTGAAGTCATCAGGGTAATTTACTTTAGATCACGTACAAGTAGTTCTAATTGATCATGTACAGAAATTGTAATTGATCACGTTCAAGTAATTATAATTGATCTTCTTCTTCGTAGGGGGCTGTGGTCAGGATGACCACTGCACTATAAGATAGAGCATTGAAGCCCTGTGCTTACCCGGGTAAAATTCTATTTGATCACGTACAGAAATTCTAATTGATCACGTACAAGTAATTATAATTGCTCAAGGATCGATGATGGACGAAAGTTATTGATGACGCGAAAATCAACTACCGGAAAATTCTGAAAACTTCGACACGTCAACAATCTAAAAGTACCACCGAGCAGAGAATGAACGAAATTTTAGTCAAATATCAGGTCATCTTAAAGGTTAAACATCAATTCAAAATTGAACGCACATATTGTTATTAAATATATTTTAAAACCCGCCATCATGAAAGTAAACCAAACAATGCTGGAGTACTTAACGTGCAACAACTTAAACAAACTAAGCACAAAACGGGAGGTTTTAAATAACCTAACTGTAACATAGACGAACTGAGCGCACCTGCATAAACTACTGTATATAAAATATTCGCGTGTAATGTAAACGACACATAGCTCTGTACGGGTCATGGGTAAATATGTTAGTGTTCACAAGGATTATAAGCATTATAATACAGTCCGTAATAATATCGATATGATCAATAATTGTATGACCATATAAGGGATAACAAGACTAAGGAGTTGTAGAAGTTAATACCAATATAATTCTAATAGTCCAGGCAGCAAGCTGTGGCACTGATTTGACACATTGTGGGGAGTCTGTGTGAACAGAGGCCGGTAAATCAGCTGCTTCAGGGACAGGGGTCAGCAGATAAATTGTGCGGAATAAATATTGGGTTATATTTTACCGTTATTCTTCGATCACCTCAAACATTTGAATGTTAAGGTGGTTTGAAGTACAATTAATGGATTTTATAACCGTATTATTCTTGCCACTGTGATAAAAGTTCACCCTCCTATTACATTCAATGTCAAACAGAATGTGACATGACAGTTGACATGTAATAACAGGGTGTTACACGTGATTGTCAGGTGACTGACACATAATGACATATTATTACTATAGCTCTATAGTAATATTATACGTAACCAGCACTCTATCCCCTGTAACTTGGATTATAACATTTACCACAGCAGTTGCTCTCACAAATGTGATTACGCTCAATTTTCCGGGCTAACTCCACTTACTCACATTTTGGGGACTTTCTAGAAGTTAATTTAATGTGCCCAGGTAGGAAAATGAATGGCAAAAGTCTACTAATTCTTCAATTTCAGGGCATCTTCTTCCAGAGAATCATGATCCTGATGGTCATCCAGAAATATCCGATTATAAAATACTTCACTATATATAATATACTATAGTATACTGGAAAAATAGTAGAAAAGAGAGTAGAAAGTGACTTACTGGTTGGATCTGACGGGCTGGTCTGTGTTGGGAGAACCGTTTACTAAACCTCCCGATCCTGAGCAGGGGAAGAATGTAGTAAACTATGTGAAACAAATAATACACGCAAGTTAATTGCAGGCTCATAAGAGTAAGAAATGGATCTGATCGAGTCGGCATGACGACAATAAGTGACATATGAGTAACTTTAGAATCCATAAATATGCACTGCTGTACTCTTGAGGACTTGAGAGTTGAGTGTGTACTTTAAAAGATTTTTCTTTAATGGTAACATTTGATTATTTTGAATGGAAAGTTCGTTAGAGTTAAAATAATTAAGAAGCTGACGTGTAGCTATATTAAACTAATTTTCTGTCTAAGTATTACGAAAATAAAACATGTATAAAGTGAAATGTTTAGAACTACTAATTGCAATGACATGTGACAATTCAGTTTTACGTGTTTAAAAACAGACATGATCTCATACCACATCGAAAACAGAACAACAATCTTAAACAAAAAAACAGTCGTATTTCATTGTCTTATAAACACTAACACATAATGTACCTATATCCGTTACGGAGTAGATTCAGTTAAAAATCTCTTAAATTTAATTATTGTCCATTTTTAAGAAAACTAATAAAAATGTAAAGGATTTAGCTAGAATTTTCCCATATTCAACAGAATATTCATTAAATCATCTAACGACGAAATAATTCAATTCCAACTATAATATATTGTCACCATATAACCAGGTTCCTGAAAACAGCAAGACCTACACATAATCCCACGTGAGCCCCACAATACAAAGCAAACAAACATAAAGGTGAGAACTTAGTGTGAGATTTCTAACCTTTTCCATTTGTAGTGACATCAGGAGTGATCCAAGCTACAACTCTACTGTGATAACAAGGTAGAATAGCCGCAGGGTTCTTTAACTCCTGCTTTACAATCAGATCCTCATCGAGAGTTTTGAAGTAGTAGCGGTAGCCTGTCTGCTTGTCTATTTCTTTCGTGAAGTCTCCAAGGGTTATTTCTGAAACATTTGGCATTAATTCTCGGTGCAGTTTAAGACCAATTTTCGCGAATAAAATCTTCTACTGCTATATCCATTATCCAACTTAGATCTATACTGCACAGCACAGCAAAGAAGCTGAAGGAAGAAGATACTAAACTTGAACTTAAATACGACTTGCAGTTACTTAGCTTATATTATGGTAAATACAATTGAATTTGTTGGTGTTCTTTAACGCTACAAATACAGATAACCTTGAAATAAATGACAATCATAGTTTTTAATAACTAATTGTTCACAATCCAAGTTATAAAACATTTATTAACAAACCTTCAGGTGGTATAGGGATACAGACCAAGTAAGGAGTGTCCTCATCCCCAATATGATACACTATCTTAGTTTCTGTCATCCTTTAGTTGAGAAGCATCAAGTGTTTTGGGAAAGAGTCATCACTGTGGCTAAACATTGGGTGTGTTATAAATAATGATGAGTTTAATAATGTATGAATCTACACAAGCAACTATTAAATTTGAAAAGGGTTCTAAAAGGAGATGAGACTTGATAATGTGACACCCTACTAGGTGTAGCTGTGTGCAAGTGTTACATTGTTGACTTGTGCAGAATAAAGATAAGTAAAATCAGAAAACTTGATAACTTGATTGGGAAGAAATTAGTATCTAGCCTGTTCCTTGTCAAAGATGACATTACCAGACAAGAACATCAAACACAGGTAGAGAGAAAGTTAGAGAATTAACTTAGAAAGTTAACTTGAACACTTTCTAGGATTCTAGAATATGTCAAGTTATCAACAACATCACGTGATCAAGAGTATTCATGTATCCTTCTTTTTTGTGGTAGAAACAATGAGAAAGCAGAAACCATCGAAACAGTTTCGGATGAAGTTTGTGCCAGGCCTCAAGAGGAAGTATACCTTAACTAGCTCTTGAATCTTGGGTTATAGAAGATGGGGCTCCTCTCCATTGCAGTTAAGATATTTTGAACTGATCAGAGAATCAGTTTCAGGATTGTATCATCTCTCACTCACATTTCTATGACTTCCTACTAAACAAAATTAAAATTAAATTGCTCAAAATGGGGTTTTGGCCTATATTTGGAGATTCTAACCAGGGAAACTCAGTCTAATCATTTCATGACCGAATTTAGTGAATTCTACGCCTCTCAAAAATACACCTTCATAGGTGTAAGTGAGGTCCCTATCAAATCAATCTGAAAATTCCCATAGGGCCTACTACTACATTGTCAATTCAATGCAATGTACAGGCTCTAAGTTTAAGTTTTAACCTGCCATGCTATTTGCACAGCACCTTTCTTTTATTTTATCACTAACAAACAATGTACGCAGATAATTTCAGTAATGGTTATTGTCTCACTATAATAAAACAAAAGTTAGACACCCTTAAAAGTATAATTAAATTAGTAAATTAAAGTGGTAATCAATTAAAATGGTACAAATCTGAGTGACAATGGCCAAGAACTTACCTCTGAAGACCTCAAATTGATCAATTTGAATGAGCTAGAATGGACCTGTCACCTGGCAAACATAAAGATATTTTGAAAAGAATGATTTTATTGACTAAACTAGATAGCCCGTGGTAACAGGGACGAAGCTATTCTTTGAAATAAAGTTTTAATCGCATCAAAAAATATCCATCTCAACTGAAGATACAGCCGATTTAAATATAAAACACTTTAAAAACAACGAAATTACCACAAAACCGATCAAAATGACGTTTAAACAATCTTTGCACGTGCATGTGTGCATTAAAACACCGTTGCTATGGAACCTTTTGGTTGTTACCTAAACTCCTATTTTTCATCTAATTTGCACGTGGGCGGTCGTACAACATCAGAAATAATTCTCTGAATTATAGTAGAGATGTTGTAACATTAACTTTCCTTTTTTTTGTCATGCAAAAAAGAAAATAATTAAAAAATCATTTTGAATAATCCATCACATCTTCTCGGTGGCCGGAACTTTGAGTAGATCTGTCACAGGGTTTGATGTACTGCCTGCTTGAATCTTGAGAATAACTTTTCAGCATTTTGCATTGCAATAGAGAATCCTTGTACCTATCCAGCACATACGTAGAACAGCTTATCACTTTGGAATCAATAGCTAGTTCTATAGGTATTTCAATACGATTGTAAAAACCAGGATACCCTTCTAAAGTATCTAGAACCTTCAGCTGACAGTCTGTTACGTCGTACACTTCTCCGATAATTCGATTTCCAACACCTTTTGTTCCAAGAAGAAAAGGAATATTGAATCTCGAGGCAACAATAAGTGGGTACTTGTCAACAGTCTGTGCCTCTCCGACAAACTTGACATCAGCAAGGCAGTAACTGTTAGGAAAACCTTTTTTCAGAGTTCCATAGACAAAAACGAACATGTCAAAAACTCACTTCTTCACTCTCGAACTACTTACACTGAATGGAATGAAACTGGGAAGAATGACATATCGTTAAAAACAAAGCGGTTTATTAGCCTTATCGAATCAAATTAAATAGCAATTTGGTATGTTTTAAAAACTACTCCAATGTATGTGTACTTTTACGGGGATCACAACCTTTTAAATCTTTGCATACGTCTTTTATGGACTATTATGGTTGTAAGCCTTTAACTTCTCAAGGGTTTCGTCACAGTTTTTAACTATCAGGTCTGGTGGTTTTGGTTAGTCGGTCAACCGCGACCGGCTGTTAGGTGTCTCAACTCTCAGCTACATGTATTGGGGTTTCCATCCTTTCCAGTAAATCGTAAAACGAATCATAAATCGTACAACGTTTATTGACACTGTTTATAAGCACACTTATGTTTGTGTACTAAAGTCTACCTTGATAATGATACACAATTTAGTAAAGCCTAAAAGAAATACTAAGTAGAATTTCTGTATGTCCTCCAGCTCAAGTCAACACATGGTTTCGTAAGGATCTCCTCGGGTGTGGATAAGGCTGTAGCGGTGGCTTTAATAATTTGCAATTGCCAAATTGCAGGAGCTCCACTGGTGCCATGAATGTCAGAGGTTATTTGTGGAATTATTAGTTTATGAAAGCTTCTGCAGTCATCTCAGTCGAATATGTTCAGGAAAACCTTGATTGAGAGTTGAAGTAGTAAAAAGGATTCTATCATAATCTTTTAAAGCTTGGAAAGACACCAGTCAGTACACATACATCAGTGTTATGTAACAAATATCAGTTTGAATCACTAGCTGGCTTACTAAAACATACTTTTTGGGACACTCAACACATATTATTGCAGGAAAATAAGATTATGTTATAGCGCTCGATTTTGTCAATCGTTTTAAGCTAGTAGTTTAATGTAATATTATTTATGCGCGGCGTGACTCAGCATGAATGGGTGCATTAACAATTAAACAAATTAAAAATTAAGAAAATCATGTTTACTTGCTTTAATTGATTCAAAATAATTTACCCCTCGAAATTTTTGGTTTTTTATAAATATATAAAATGTTCTTATAAGTATTTTAATTTTGTTTTGCCTTATATTGATGATTGAGTTATACTTTTTTCATATTTACACATTTGCTCACATTATTTACGATCGGCCGCTTTGACACGGTTGACCACGTTTTTGTGTTGTTAGTTAATCATATGAATTGTGAATGGGATATAAATATTTCATTTCAGAAATGGTCTAGTTTCGAAAATTGCGCGGCGCGGGCAAGACTTTGATTTAAAAACTCACATGTCTCAAGGGCCCTTTTACAACTAAAAATCTACATGCATCAATTTGCTTGTACATTGTAGGTTTATAACCTACCAAAACGCGCGCCGAGTTGGACTCGTCGATCACGATTTTGTATTTGGAACAAATTCAAAACATTTTTCGAGTATCACCGCCCCTTAAAAATTTACATAGAAAGGCCAAGGTTTAATTTCAATCGCCACTTGCACAGTTATCAAAATCATTTATTGACTAAAAACTACACACATTGATTTAAAAAATCCAGCGATCAATAAAATCAACAAAAAGTACTAAACAATTAAAAACATTAAAAACTGCTGGCTGTAAAGATGTTACCACCAAACTTCTTTTATCCCTGTCAATGGGAGAGAACTTCCTAAAGGGGCCAACAAAGCAGATGGAGCTAGTGCTAGGAGTGTATGGAACCCATTGGAAAGGGTATTTTTAGACATGTAAGAGTATTTCATGCTCAAGGTCCTTCCAAGAAGGCTCTTGGATCTCCAATGAGTATGTACACTAGCCATGAGAGACAAAAGAAAAACATGTACCGTACAACAAAAAGATTGTCGAATTGGAACTTGGAACATTTACACCGGTAGTCCTATCAACAACAGGTGGAATGGGAAGAAAAGCAAATACGTTCTTCAAAAAGTTAGCTGATAGAATGTCTAGAAAATCAGGTCAAAGATACAGTGAAGCTATAACTTTTATCAGGAAAAGAATAAGATTTGACTCATTAAGAACAACAATTATTGCTCTTAGAGAAGAAAGAGGGATAAAAAGTGGTAGTATAGTAAGAATATCAGATTTAGATATTAATTTGCAGAGCCAACAAATTGAATTGGCTACTTTTACTACTATGTGGGACTATTTTGTAAAACTTAACTACGGTACTTGCTCTAACCAGAGCTAGAGCCCTCTCGCTTGCAGTAGCGCGCGACCGCCGTGCCGAAGGCGGCAAAGGATTTAACTTGTGAAACAAGCGCGTCACGCAGTACGTGTATACACATGGCTATGTGAACTACGGTACTAGAAAAACTGTGTGTTTTGCTCTAGAAATACACTTTTTTAGAGATTTTACAGGCGTATCATCTAAAATCATCTAATTTGTCCAATTTTAGGGAGGTGGGCGCCAACAGGGGGGCGATTTTTCAGTGAGGGGGGGGGGGGGGGGGGGTCGCAACGTTACGCTACTTACCGGAAGTCAGTAGCGTAACGAAATTTTGAAAACTTTTTGTTTCATTGGAATAAGAATTTGTAAATAGCCGGGACCAGGATTGATCAATTTAAAAAAAATCCCGGTCTACTCAGCCGAATGCTCAAGAAATCGTGTGTGAGGGTTAAATGAGGAGCTGTACATGATCTATACAGAGGAGCCATGCGCATGGGCGAAGAAAGTGTGGTATAACACCTTAACCGTCGCTGGCCTTAGTTATCAATCCTTCGGGTTCCTGTAAGTGCTGGTGCCGGCCATGGTTGTCCGAAGTAAAAGATAAAGGGTGGTTTTCATAGATAACCTTGCTGCCTTGCAGCTTAACAACGTAAAGTAAGGTAAGTAAAATCCTGGTAAAATTTTTATTTTGGCTGGGACCGCGATTACGGTCGATCTCTGGTCAGAATTTGATATCAAATGGCGCCCTTCCTGCATAGCAGAGTTTATAGGGCCGTTTGTTATGCAACTACCCCCTAATTCTGCTCCCTGATTTGAAGTTTAGTTCAAAGCCATCTGCTCATCTCTTAAAATAATTAAATTATCAAATAAAACACACATTTTTGCTAGTTGCTTAGACCACCTGAGGTGTATCCCCCCTGTGTGGCTGGGGCTGCAGAGGCGGTCGTTACGCCACTGCTTACTCTTGGATTTGTAGTCTGCTATTCTGCAAATGTACAATTCAATAATGTCAATCCTTAACACTGATGCAACTCGCTCAAGTCAAACAGATCGTCAAACAGAATACAAGGTTTCAAGATAATCCTAATTAATACTTTTAGGTTCTCATTCTAAACCATGACTAGTGTCACTTCAAGAGCCCAGGTACAAGGGGGCTTGTTATTTAAGTTATTCATTTCAACTATATTTTGATCGTTAATTGTTCATTACTGAAATCTTTTCGCAATTAAATTAACATTAATCACAAAAAAATCTCAGCCAAGTAAAGCTGTTAACTATGTACAAAGTGACCGTTTCTCATGGTGCTAAAAAACATCAGATTTCAATTCGAGACTCATGTCCAACCAGTGAAGATTTGTCAACCAAGATTGAAGCTGTTACAGGTGTTCCATTGTCCCGACAGAAACTGATTCACAAAGGTAAACTGATTTAGTAAATCACGATACATGTTATATTATGATATTTAATTATCAAAATTAAGGATGGTCTACTTTGTGGGTTGTGCTAATTTTTTTCATAATTGATTGCTACAAAATATAATATGCAAGAGTCCAGTTTGAGCAATATTATGACTTCATAAAATAGGATGTTTATAAATGTCTTTAATATGTAGTTAATGATTGAAATTGTTTGTTTAAACAGGAAAGCAAATCGCAATTGGTGGGTTTGGGCTTCCTGCACTGGGTGTATCATCAGGCAGCAAAATCATGCTTCTTGGCCGCCAGGACAATCCTCAAAATGATGCTTTAATCCTGAAAATTAATAAGGTATAGTATTTTTGGAAATTAACTTCATCGTGCAATCAATTACAAATCCAATATTTCTTCAAATCATACAAATCTAAATTATTTAAATTTAAATTGTATCCATTGGATAATGTATGAGAGTTACATATTTAATTTATGAACCAAATGAATCTTTTGTGAGATCGTTTATTCCCCCATAAGGTAAAGACTGATGCAGAACAAATTAAAGTTAAAGTGACTGACCTGGATGGACAATTACAAGGCATAAAGAATGTATGTAAGTTACAAATTTGTTCATTAATTGTGAACCCAATAGTAGACATATTTCACCATTTGCTAAAGAGCAAACAAAGATGGCAACTTTTAATCAGTAATCTGCTAAGCAACTCTTAAACTATGCTCTACTTTCTGACCTGATTTATCAACTCCCTTTCATGTCTGACATGCAGCCGACATAGCAACCCTCTCATTTAATTTATCCGTAGCAAAGAAAACATGTCAATAGAATTTTTATTTCTCCAGGGGTACATGCCAGATGACTTAAAAGCTGAAGCTCTCAGTAAGATTCATAAACAGTGTATTGGTTGTGTGGAGCAGTCTATGAAACATTTGGAATTTTTAGACTCTTTGGTAAGTCTGTTTTTATAAATTGTCAAAATTACTTTTTTCTTCCTTTCTTACACTTTGAAAATAATATTAAGGTTCTCAGCCTAGTATCAGCCTAGCAAGGCATCTGCATAAATGAGGCCAGGGATATTATATATCATTTACAAAATATTACATATTTGGGTCTAGTCTGATAGAACTTCTGCAACATTATTTATGTGACAACTTATTTCGATGCCATTTACTCAATCCCCACATTATTTGTTCCAGCAATCGTCAGATGAAGGTATCAGAAGCTTGAAGAAGAGCACAGTTTTATTTATACAGTCCATGTTGGATGAGTGCGACAAAATGATGGAGAAACTTTAACGAGTTTGTGGTCTACTACTCTACAAATATATGAAAATTGGGTTGTTAGTGTAGCTTTGAACAGTCTTATAACTTTGTTCAGTATAGGAACACCAATGCAAGACAATTATATTACATTTTCAATCAGTTTCTAAATCTCTAATCTCCAACTGAATCATCAATGATTAAAAATATTATTTCTTATACTGATCTAGGAACAGAGTAAACTTAAGTGGGTCAAATGTAAATTAGTTTTATTAATAAGTAATAATATTTCAATGGCAGGTGTAGTTATGCCTAGAGATTGCGCTACCATAGAGAGAAAGAGAAAACATAGTGGTCAAATGTCAATAAGATCAGTACTGTATAGCTCAGAAATATTTTGCAATTTTTCACTGTGAGAGCTTTATTTCTTGTTTGTTTTAAGATTAACTCAATTTGATTTTATTTGCTACTTACATTGAAATTGAAGTGACAAAATATTAATTTCCTGTTGTCATTGACTGCTTATGATCACTCAGCTACAATTTATGAGGCTTAAAAACTATTCGCAGGAAAGTTAATAATGTAAATGTAAACCATCCCAAATTGCTGTTATATCGAATGGTGAACAATGGTGAAAAATGGTGAAATTTTACAATTTGCAAATCTGATTCACCATAAAAAACCATAAAATTCATTCGCCATTTTGCACAATTTGTCACCATTTTAGTTTTTTATTTTCAAAGTATCAAATTGAAATATTAAATGTGTACCAAGAGCTCAGTTTTTATGAACCTTAATCGCCATGTTCACTATAAGTAACCAGTTTTGGTGTACTTTTCTCATCATGACCACTAAAAGTTACTAGATGTATTGTACTTTTCTCACCATGATCACCAAAAGTAACTCGATTTGTTGTACTTTTCTCACCATGATCACCAAAAGTTAATAGATTTGATGTATCTTACTCGCCATGTTCACAAAAAATTACCAGTTCCGATGTACCTTACTCATCATGATCAACAAAAGTTACCAGTTTTGATGTACCTTACTCGCTAAATTCACTAACAGACAAAAGTTACCAGTTTTGATGTACCTTTCTCGCCATATGCATATTCACCAAAAGTTACTAGTTTCGATGTATCCTACTCGCCAAGTTTATCTTACTAGACATATAATGAGAATTCATACTACTTAGTCAGAAATACAGAACTACATTGCACCTTATCACCGGACACTGGGGTTAAACAAACACCTTCGTACCATCTGCAAATCTAGCACCAGTGCATGTCCGATGTGTGACCACGAAGAAGAGACCGTCTCGGATTTTCTAAGACAGTGCCCTTGTGCCCATCTATTTCTCAACTTAGAGGGCAATATTTTCACGAGTATTACCTCCATGTCAACGATATCTTCTACAACCATCACATAATTACTCTTCTCAACTTTGCAACCTACACCAATCGTCTTTAGTTACATACTTCGATTCCACTTTTATTATCTGGAAAACTTTGAATGAGGATCAATGGGTAAATTATAAAATGGGAATATTCAAACAGGAAATAATGTGCATGTTTTTAGATAATACATTATGATTCTTGTATCTTACTTGCCATGTTCACTAAAAGTAACCAATTTTGATGTACATTACTCACCATGTTCAGTGTTCACTAGTTTGAAAAAATGGTGATTGATAGTTTTGGTGAATCGAGTTTCCGAATTGTAAAACCTAGACTTACTTTAAATTTAATGAAACACATGTTTAATTGTTTCTTTGTATCCAACAAATATATTCATCGAAAAATGATGAAAATGGCGAATAATGGTGAAATTTTACAATTTGGAAACCCGATTCTCTATAAAAATCATTTACCATTTTTCAGCATTTTTCACCATTGGATACCCCCATTCAAGACCCCAATCTAACCAATTAAAAATAAAAAATGTTCGTGGGATACTTATAATAGGAAATAATTACTTGTTAGAGATCAAATTTATAGCAGAGAAAAAACCTAAGAAGTGTAAGGAATGTTCATACACTTATTCCGATCAAAACGACTTTGTAAAACATCAGAAAACAAAAATTTTTTTTGATAGAACGGTAGTTAAACCTATTAAAAAACTATATAAAAATGAAAATATTCTTCTCGTAATTTTAGTAGTAACGATGGAAAGTAGCGGAGAATCATACCAAGACTTACTAAGAAGATGCACCAGAAAGAAGGTAACTAACAATTTTGAGAGCACTCTACTTCCAACCCTGCACAAAGGAGAAGTATTAGAATTGTCTGGAGGACACGTGACAGGTGCTACCTCTGTGCTGTGTTCTGTTACACTGGACTTTCTTGTCAAAAATCCCTCTTCACGTGTTGTTTACATTGATTGTGATAGAGGGGTTACTCCGCATAAATTCCAAAATCTCCTTGCAGCTTCCCACCCAGAGTGTGACAGTGTGTCACAGTGTGACAGTGTGTTACAGCGACTGGCTCTGTCACAATGTTGTGGTCTACATGATCTGTTGTCAGTGCTGGACTCAGTTGAGAAACAGTTTAAACAGAACCCTGACTACACTGATATTGTTATAGTTGATAACATCTTATCCTTCTACTGGAGTCACGATAAGCACACCACACGTGACAAGATAGTACCTAAACTACTTAATATAAAACCTTACTGTTCCCTCCTCATATCCTGGCATCCACCAATCAGACAGAGTGAGAATATCCTGCCTTTTTCGTGGGGTAAGCTGGTTACTAGGAGACTGAAACTTACTAGCCAGGCTAACCCCAGATACATTGTGGAAGAGGGGAGTAACCATGGTAACCATGGTAACCTTGGTAACCATGATAACCATGGTGGTAGCAAACACTCTGTTCAGTTCAATGTTGATCTCAGAAATGGTTGTGTGACCAGTTTATGCTAACTAATATTCTAAGAATGACAGAAGATTGTTTCTTCTGGTCTAGAGTTTCAAGTTATTTTGTATTATAATTATATAAAAATGTTTATATAATTTTATAGCCATAAGGAAATTTGTTGTTAAAGTGTGGCTTATTTATCAATTTCCTTGGCTATTTAAATATTGCAACTTTAATAAATTCCTGTTTCAGTATATAAAATATATAAAAATACAGCACATCTCAGTTTTTTATAAATTTTTACCGTGCCCCCTTTGAAAAGCTTAATTAAGATTAACAGACCCATAATTTGTTAATCATTGTGATTCTATAATAGATTAATTGATAAAGCTATGACAGAAGCTGCACCACCCCCTCCCCCAACCTCTGCAAGCAATGGAATATCTGCCGGGCCTCCCAAAGCCGCACAGAAACCAAACTACACTCTCAAATACACCCTAACTGGTAAGTAATGAGCTAATTAATTGATCAATTATAATCAGTAATTATCCAATTAATCATTTTGATGTAAACATATGTGAAACTACCCATCTAGATACCGCATTTGATACTTGTTATTCAATATGCCGCTATTTTCACCAGCTCTCTGAGTAAAAGTTGTGGCATTCATCCTTTGTTTACAACTTGTACTGTTCTCCCTGACACGTGTCATCGAGCAACTCGAGAATACCTTCTCACATTTCAATGTTTTCTAGTGTAATTCACTGTGTACTAGTACTAGTGTAATTCACCGCATTAGTGTAACTGTAATGCACTATATACTAATGCACTATATTACTAATGCACTATACTGATGTGTACTGCACTACATGATAGTCAACTACTTTACACATCACTCTCAGCGCAGGACCTCACTTAACTCTGTACATTTCCACCGGCCATTCCTTCAAGCAGTTAATGCACATTGCACGTATTGTTATGTATTGTAGTGTACTATGTATGTCGGGGCTGACAGGGAGGTTGTTCGTTACGTTTTAGGGCCCTTTATTTCAGATTGTGAGGGTGAAAATTGCGAGTCTGTTAATTTAAATTATCTGTTAATTTTCAAGTTTTGTTATATTATTACCAGTAAGCTTTGCTCTAGTATTCTTAAAACATGTTGTCGATTTACCCCCTGTTTTCCGTAATTGTATGCGGTTGAGGAGTTGCATTTCGTTAAACTTTCATCTGTTTTCTCAGGACACACTAAAGCAGTTTCCTCTGTCAAGTTCTCTGTTGATGGTAACTGGATAGCTAGTTCCTCTGCTGATAAAACAGTGAAGATATGGAGCGCGGAGGATGCGAAGATAGAGCGGACCATCACCGGGCATAAGATGGTAGGTTTTAGTAAATCATTACAGTTTACTAGTACATATAAGGATTAAGGGCAAAAGATGGTAGGTTTTACTAAAACATTGCATTTTGCTATAGTTTACTACTTACAGCTTTAGAGGGCTAATTTTAGCTTACGTCGATAAGAACGATTTGTCATGATTTTAAAGTTATTAATTAATTGTTTAATTAAGTGATTAACTAATTGACTAATATTATTAACAGGGTATATCAGACGTAGCATGGTCACACGACAGCAAACTGTTGGTCAGTGCCTCAGATGATAAGACTCTAAAAATATGGGACTTCTCAACTGTAAGTATTTAAAACATTTAATGCATCTACATTTAATGCATCTACTCTCCTGTTTGTCTTTTGCCTTAGTATGATATAATGACTAATGGTCAGACTTGTTCTACTCTCAAACTATCACTTCGTTCGCGTTAGTTCGTTGTGGTTTGAGGATGCTAACTGCTAAGTTGGCTTCAGATTACAGGAGATACAGTGTATATTTTTGCTGCCGCAGCTTAAGAACTGTGACTTAAAGCGCTAGAATAATATTGATAACTCTAATTTTAAGTAATATGTTGTATCTTCGCTATCTTCACTTAAAGACGCATAAAAAACAACTATTTCCCACGGTATTTTACCTGGGAGAAAGGAAATAGCCGCAGTAAATCGTGATTTGATTTTAATTCTATACCTTTCATCCACCTGCTTGATCTTTTCAACTATCTCATCACATTATTCTTACTACTTTACTACACGTTAGCTGTTGAACTATTGACTCTCGCACCATATTGTTAATCACATGTAAACTATAAAGGCGTGGGTATGATACAGTGTTTATTGCATCATGATGTGACGAGTTGCTAATGTAATATTATTGTTCTGCAGGGAAAGTGTTTGAAGACACTGAAAGGTCATGGTAATTACGTGTTCTGCTGCAACTTTAACCCTCAGTCAAATCTCATCGTATCAGGAAGTGTAAGTTTTGATTATGTTGTTTTGTGTTTTAAAATAACGGGGTTTCTGTTCAAACCGCGCTTGCAATTGAAATTTCTAAAAATGATAATTTTTTGGCCAAGAAAAAAGGGCTGTTTATAAATGAATGTTTTAAACTCAGGTTTTGTTGTAAATTATATCATTCCATCCTAGTTGAAATATCAAGATCTTTATTACCTCAATAAGTAGGAATTAACCGGATACAAGATCAACCTCATTGTAGATTAAATTTAAATAGTAGTATCGATGAGAATTTTAGAATATTTTAATGCTTCCAGTGCTAGAAGTGACTAGTGACTACTGTAAATTAAATAACTTGATAGTTTCAGTTAAAGCTCCTGTCACAGAGAAATTTATTAATCAACATTTTACCTTTTCCATTATTACTTCTTTACCTTTTCCATTATTACTTCTTTTTATAAGTTATATAAAATTATACCTTTTCCATTATTACTTCTTTTTATAATTTGTCCAAGTTTTACCAAGCCAATAGAAGATATTAGAACTAGAGTACATCGCATCAGATGCAGCTAATATCCACACGATTTACACGACTTGAACAATCACACGTTCTTTCTAATTTCCCAATTGTTCTGGTACAATCGCCTTATCGTTCACCTTTGTTCACACTGTTGGAGTCTCCTTGGGATAATTGGTTTTTCGGGAAGGCTAGCCAATATGGGGACAGGGACAGTTAAAGTGTGTGCTTTGTTCTAGGACCTAGCACCTTGCCTGACGCCAGGTGACCTATGCAGCAAATTTGCTCAAAGACAGAACACCATTCAACTTATAACCATGACCAGTACCTAGTAACCAATATTCCAGTTACCAGTAACCAATATCCCAGTTACCAGTAACCAATATTCCAGTTACCAGTTACCAATATTCCAGTTACCAGTAATCAATATTCCAGTTACCAGTAACCAATATTCCAGTTTGACGAGAGTGTCCGTATATGGGATGTTAGGAACGGCAAATGTCTGAAAACTCTCCCCGCCCACTCGGACCCTGTATCTGCTGTCAACTTTAACAGAGACGGAAGTCTCATCGTATCCAGCAGTTACGATGGTCTTTGGTGAGCTATTTTAAGTTATTTTAAGTTATTTTAAGTTATTTTGAGTTATTTTAAGTTATTTTAAGTTATTTTGAGTTATTTTGAGTTATTTTAAGTTATTTTAAGTTATTTTAAGTTATTTTAAGTTATCTAAAGTTGTTTAAAGTTATTTTGAGTTATTTTGAGTTATTTAAAGTTACATTTACGATTGGTTCTAAACCTGCTGGTTACGTTTCATTACGTCAGTCCCAATTTATGGGATACCACCGCTTAAAATTTCGATGCCACGAAAACGCCAGAATTTGATAATGTGGATTGTAATTTGGTCGTATTCCTACTTTTTACTTTTGTGTTTTAACGTTCTAAATTTTAATAAAACAAGTATAGCAGGTTCACTTGAAATAAACGTTTTGGGAATAAACTTAAAGAAATTTCCATCTTTTTTTAGATAATATTATAATCTCTCTAACTTTCAGTCGTATCTGGGACACAGCCAGTGGACAGTGTTTAAAAACTCTGATAGACGATGATAACCCACCAGTCTCCTTCGTTAAATTCTCACCTAACGGTAAATTAGTTAGCCATCCAGTTATTTTGTAAATATAGCCAGAAAGCCGTAGATGAGTTAAAGGTATTTTTAATTCAATTGAGCTATTAAACCTTACGTTACGTAGCTCACTGTTTTCGAATCAATTATTTACAAAGTAACAAAATCATTTGCTACTGCTACTGATTCTTAGTCTGAGTTACTAATTAATTTAACGAGGAATAAGTCACTAATAACTTGTAAATACCTAGGCCTACTGTAATTAGTCACTAATAACCTGTGCAGGTAAATACATACTGGCAGCAACACTGGACAACACGCTGAAACTCTGGGACTACAGCAAGGGGAAGTGTCTGAAGACCTATACGGGACACAAGAACTCGAAATACTGTATATTCGCTAACTTCAGTGTCACTGGAGGTCAGTTGATGGAGTTGATAGATTTTTGATTAATTGGTATAGCTAATTAATTAATTGGTATTATAATTTATATGACAAGATCTGAGAACTAATAGAAATTAAGCTATATTTGTAACCAAGTCCCAATTGAAGATTGAATTATCCGTGACGAAAAAAATATTCTGACTTCCAATTTAACTGCTAAAGTGCCTGATTACTAAAGTAACTAAGTGACTCAATAACTTAAATGTAACGTTAAAAGTACTTAAGTAACTTAAATAACAAATGATATGTTCAGGTAAGTGGATAGTGTGTGGAAGTGAGGATAACATGGTTTATATCTGGAACTTGCAGACCAAGGAGATCGTACAGAAACTGGAGGGTCACACTGATGTTGTTCTCTGTACAGGTAATTAGACTCGTTAACTAAATAATTAGAGTAATTAACTCATTTATTATTTGCAATATTTTAATTTTACATTTCAACGAGTAGACAAACAATTGATTTCATGTTAAATGTAGCTTGTCAGTTGTCATACAATGCTTACAGTTTCAGATTTAGGGTGGTCGCCTTTTAGCGACCAACCATCCATGCCCCTTTCTTAATATAGTTTTCACGATAATGTCTTATAATGTCTTCTACTTAAACGGTTTCGTTTCCGCAGGATGCCATCCAACGAAGAACATCATTGCAAGTGGAAGTCTTGAAAATGACAAAACAATAAAAATCTGGATATCCGATTATTGAAGTGGATGACAGTCCACATTACCCCGCAACTTCAACATTCCTTCCGCCGTCCATCAACTCCGGATGACCACGCTATGACATACCGATCTATTTGTTCGCCAACTTTTAATATTGACATGTCAAAGTAACCCAGGTCATCAGGCAAATTTTAACTTTTACAGAGATGCGACTGTTTTAGCTGCGTATAATGATGTTGTACACCGTGTCTATTATTATACATGAACAGTGCTTTTTATCATAATAATATCTTATTATTAACGTCTTCAATGCCTTGTTAATTGATTTTTAATTAGCACCGTGTTATTTATTTTGAATAATATTTATAACGAGTTTTACGGTTAGTTTTCGTTACAACTTCTCACCAAATATTTATACAATTGCGATCGAATCATCTTTTTGGCCTATAAAAGTATAAAGTGACTTCCAAATTATCTGTCTGGCCACAGTACAGTCCCAAGACATTTTTTCTGATTAAAATGTCTTCTCATGGTAATTTCCAATTACACTGCACCGCACTAAATTGATAATTGATAATTGGTGCTAACGGAAAAGATTTGCTCTATCATCATTTAACACACAGTTCTATAAGGACTATTTGTTTAGCGTTGTCGTTATTCATTACAATTAAATTTACACTGTGAAACGCATTGTTTTTGTCCTCGTTTAAACTCAAGACTATTAAGTCAATGAATTATAATCTTTTTATGATTTTGAAAGCGTTGCACATTTTGAGATTCCGTACAAAATATGCTGAGAAGGTACACTGAAACCAATTTTCACTGAGATATTCTAAGAATTTTAAGATATTCTAAGAATTTTCAGATATTCTAAGAATTTTCAGATATTCTAAGAATTTTGATATTATATATGTTAAATGAATTGCATTAACAATATTTAACTCCCCGTCTAGACAATGTGAGCTGTGTACATTATGTGAGATATGAACGATGACGATATTCTCCAATCTGAACTGTAAGTTACTTCAGTACTAGACTTTCCATTGTTCCTCTTTTTTGCGCACCAGTTAATTTTTTCCCTTCCAAGGAAAAAAAAACCAAGGTAAGGGCCAAGGGGAATTTAAAGAAAAATTAGTTAAAAAAAGTAATCTTTAAAATTAGTCTTATTTACCAGATATATTTACAGGCAGGAACTAGAGGAGCTATTGAGGAGTCCAGAATGCACTGCTCCAAAAATAGAACAGTTCTACCAGAATGGTGTTAACACTGTCGAGCGCATGTTGATATGGAAGTGGTTGCTTGGTAAGTTATTGAAACTACTCTGTGAGCTGTTAGTATAGGGTTACCAAGGAAAACTTGCAATGTAATGGCCATATTGTAAGTTGTACTATAGTCTACTAGTCTACACTGTGACAGGAAAGTCAATTTAGCTGATAGTGCCGTTCTATAATGGATTGTATAACAAATAATTGATGCACTTAAAAGTATATTATGTAATTTACTAATATAAAGGGGTATATACCAGGGAGGTTATGCATTGTGATATTTGGTAAATTAATCTTTACATCTTAACTTAAATGTTCCCATTAAATCTCCATTATATTATAAATAAACCTGATATTATATTAATTTTGTGACACTATCTATCAGGAGTGTCTGGAAGCAGTATTACTGACTGGGACATCCCCGTAGAACACAAGGATCTCGATATAATAACTGACGATGTCCTCCAAATAAGCGGTAAGAAATACCTCAAATGAAATTTAAATTTTCGGCCGAATGTCTGGTCAACCACCATTTCCTCCTGGATAACTGTGGCACCCAAGACTTGGTTTCTGAGCGTTCATTGAGCTTTAAAAGACTAATTTCTAGAAATTCTGTGTACTAAAATCCTGAATTTTCCTTCCAGATATGCCGGGGGAACAAGAGAAGATGATTAAGATACTATCATACTACTGCACCGCGCGCAACACGCGCTACAAAGCAGAGTGCGGCTGGGCGGAGGTGCTACTACCACTAACTTCCCTCTCGTACGGGGAAATGTACGCCTGCTTCTATGCGCTTCTCTCCAAATTCGTTCCCAGGTTCGACAATCTTAACTTTATGAGTGCTGTCGAAAAACTGCAATAAACCACAATTAATATCCTTTTCGAAAATAATCAGAAAGAGTTTTTTAAATCAGGAACAAACATAATTCCAGAATCCAGATTAACACAATATCTCACGTGACTCCATATCTCCCTCACGTGACGTCACACGTTTTCCTCACGTGACGTCACACTCCTCCCTCTTCAGGAACTGTAAAGCGGACGGTAAGCCGTTCCACCTATTCAGACTCCTCCTCCTCTACCACGACCCTGAGTTGTGTGCTTTTCTCGACACTAAGAAGTGCCCTCCTGACATGTACGCTCAGAGATGGGTAAGTGAGGCTGTGGTTACTTTGGTTACCTTATTTTGGTTACCTTGGTAACCTTACCTTGGTTACCTTATTTTGGTTACCTTGGTTACCTTACTTTGGTTACCTTATGTTGGTTACCTTGGTTACTGTCATATGCCTTGTTAATAGTCAGTTAGTTGCAAGTTGGTTACCAGAGCTACGAGTCGAGTTGGTTTCCGCTTATTTTAACGTGATATTTCTCTCAAGCTTGAACTTAGATGTTTGGCCAATATTCGAGTAAAATGCCCTGAAACGTTAAAAATAATCTTTAAATCCAACCTTCACCTGACACATAACCTCAGTTCCGAAGTCTGTACGTGGGTAAATGTGAGGTACAAGTGATAAGGGAGGTGTGGACCCGGTACTTGTTACAAGGAGATCCCTTCCTAGTCTTCTACCTGGCTCTTGTTATCCTGGTCAATGCTAGGGATGTCATTCTCGAGATGGACAGTTGTGGAGGGTAAGTTTTTATCTGTGTAACTCAAAAGTTTATTTAATTAATTGATAATTTAATTAATTGATTAAATTCTGGAAATGGACAGTTATGGAATATGGAGGGTAAGTGTATTGATTTATAGTTTAATTTGTAATTTGTTTAAATTGTGTAATTTTGAAATTTCACTTAATTGGTTTTAGACACAAAGGAAGACGACCCAATGCAATTATAGGTTAAATTCTTTGTGGTTAAAACTTCAAGCCTTGAAAACACTGAATGTGAATGTGAAACACTAATTATCGTAACAGTGACACTGGAGACCTGGTCAATTAAACTGGAGACCTGGTCAGGTTTCCAGTTTCTAGGTTACCTCGACAGCGACAGTTTAATATCACTAACACTTAAACCTGAGATCTGGTCAGGTTTCCAGCTAGTGTGTTTAACATCACCATCACTTCCCTCGCTCGGCCCCCTCACTTAAACCTCCCCCTCAGCTCGGAGATAGCCAGCAAGATAACCGCCTTCCCTGACAACCTCTCCGTGGAAGATATAGAGGACTTTATCTCCCTTGCTGTGTACTACGGAGAGAGGACACCACTTAGTTTTAGACATGATTATCACGCACAGTTGTTTGGCAATGCGCCAACTGAGTCTAACTTTGCTTCATTGTCCCAGGTAACATTATATGTTACAATTTACATAATTTTTCATTCGTTATTGTAGATGATGTATAATATTATCCTTTTGTTTTTCATTATGTGCGTTGTTTTCCGAGATTATTACATTCTCTAACGTCAGTGAAGTCAGTTTTTTCTTTAAAAATAGAATTTAACAAAAAATAGAATTTAACTACGTAACGAATTGAGAAAAAAAGCTTCAAAATTACCATCCTCCTCTCAGGCGCTGTGTCTCCCAATATCAGTATCAGAGCTACTCCAGAAGACCACAGACCAAGGTGTCAGCTATTTAGTAGTGGACTGTAGACCACGTGACCAGTTTAGTAGTGGGCATCTCCACGGAGCTGTCCATCTAGACCCTGATACCATGTTATCAGGTGAGTGCATGTCACGTGATATCTGATATTGTCTTAAATATTGTCTGGATATTGTGAGGTACTATATAGTAGTGTCTTTTGTAGTAATTGATCTATAGGTACTTTGCTGAGTTTTGCCTTAAATTAACAATAAGTGCACCATGTGAGGTCTGTGTAACCTCCTCTCTAATTACGATAATAGCCTCATCAGTCATTATAATTAACCCCACTTCAGATCCAGCAATGTTCACTACAAACGTGGCTACAGTTCTTCTGGAACAACGTAAAACATTCCTGGAGGACGACGTTTCGTTAAATCACTTGTGTTTCATGGGGTGCTCACGGGAGGAGGAGGATCAGCTGCTCAACATGGTGGTAGCTCACTTCTTACATAGGAAAACTCAGGTAGCTCACTTCTTACATAGGAAAACTCAGGTAGCTCACTTCTTACATAGGAAAACTCAGGTAGCTCACTTCTTACATAGGAAAACTCAGGTAGGTTGCAAATAAAAGTTGGTAATTTGAACGGGAAACTGTCATTCAGATCATATTCTGGAACTGTACAGAACTTACCGTAAAGTAGATCCTGGATTTTAGCTGTTTCCAGATTTGGTGTTTTATGGTAACTTATTCATTCCAAATGTGTCGGAAGTGTCCTCCAATAAACTTAGCGCTAACTGTCGCCTCCCTAACTTAGCGCTAAGTGTCGCCTCCCTAAAATTAGCGCTAAGTGTCGCCTCCCTAAACTTAGCGCTAAGTGTCGCCTCCCTAAACTTAGCGCTAAGTGTCGCCTCCCTAAACTTAGCGCTAACTGTCGCCTCCCTAAACTTAGCGCTAACTGTCGCCTCCCTAAACTTAACGCTAACTGTCGCCTCCCTAAACTTAGCGCTAACTGTCGCCTCCTTAAACTTAGCACTAACTGTCGCCTCCCTAAACTTAGCGCTAACTGTCGCCTCCCTAAACTTAGCGCCAACTGTCGCCTCCCTAAACTTAGCGCTAACTTTCGCCTCCCTAAACTTAGCGCTAAGTGTCGCCTCCCTAAACTTAGTGCTAACTGTCGCCTCCCTAAGCTTAGCGCTAACTGTCGCCTCCCTAAACTTAGCGCTAAGTGTCGCCTCCCTAAACTTAGCGCTAACTGTCCCCTCCCTCAGTTTGTGAGCAGTGCCAGGAATGGTTACAAAGCTCTCCACGACCTGCTGGACGATGCTGTAAACACTGGACTTGAGGTTAGTTCTGTCAACTGTTAACTGTGGGCTGTGGACCAATCTGTTTCTAAATCTTTCTCAATTTCTGGTTGTTTTCTATATGAAATGGGTCGTTTACCACTTACATAAAGCAGTTTAGCCTCCCAACTTTTAGCTAGCCTCCCCACTTTTAGACATATTTCTCTACCGCAACCAATTACTACTGTTTAATCGATCAATTAACTAATTACCTAATTACCCGATATCAGGGTCACGACTACACCGAGTGTGTGGTATGTTGTGAAGAACAATCCTCCCGGTTAGCGGACACTGAACTTAGTGTAACCCAGTCTAATGATAATAACAGTAATATTGTTTCTAAAATGAGCTCCGTCATGAAGGTTAGTCATACCGTTAATCGTATATATTTCTTTGATAACCCTTATTGCAGCACCTATACTTGCATTAAAAGGATATTGCGAAATTTCTGCAACTCGTACAATCATAACATAATTTAATTTTAATAATTCCGCAGAAATGGCATTCCACAAATATCTCCCCAGCTCCGCCCTGCTCTAAACAGTAAATACCTCCCAGGTAACTACCACCAGCATGCGCAGTAAACTCGGAGCACTGTGGTCAGATGATCTGACTGGACGTCACGTGACTACCTCCGTCAAATCTAAACCTTACAGAGGGGTCGAGAATGTGTTCTCTATTGCTGATGATGAGGATGAGGATGATATTGTTAGTACTTTCACTTTCATTTTGAGCTCGTTCTTTTTTCAAATTTAAATATTTCTCCATTATTCCAGTTGTTACTTTAGTAATTAGAATGATTATAATTACCTATGCATTATGTGCTAATTATCCAATTAACCAATTAATTAATTACCGTCTTGTACTCTAGGTTGGAGGTGCGAGTTCGTCAGAAGAATCAGATAAGGAAATAATAAACATTAAGTTGTGGGAGAGTAGAGCAGATATTTTACACTGTTTTAGCGTGGAAGAGATCACTCCTGACGGTGAGAAATTAGTTTGTTTACTTGTTTGTTATTTTATCTTCTTGTGTGATTGTTTGTTTGGTGTTACTCATATATTTGTTTGCTTCTTCGTTTAAATGTTCGTGCATGTAATTTGTAATATCCGGATGTAATTTGTTTGTGCATGTAATTGTTTCATTGTGCATGTAATTGTTTCATTGTGCATGTAATTGTTTCACTACCTACCTGCTTGTTTGATCTCTCCCGTGGAACACAGCAGAACATTCTTTAAATACCAGCATAAAACCCCAAAATCCTGGCCCTCCAGAAAGCTCATGTAAAAGGAGTATAAGATGTTCAACACGGCGTTTACCTCCAGGCAAGATGTTTGCTAGTGTACTGTTGCTGACTGAGACTCATCTTTACAACATACGTCGCATTCCTGAAAGAGAGGGTATGGGGTATATCCGCTACCGTTTCGCTTTCTCTGCCATTGCCAGAATTACAGGTTTGTTTAAATTATATCTTTTCTTTTTTGTTAAATGCAAGGGAAATTTAGCCGAAAAGTCCATTCCAGCCAAATAGTCCACCTACCGAAACATTTTATTTGAGTATAATTAACATTTTATTTGAGTACAAATTGGAATAGTTGGTGGTAAAGAGTGCATTCATTGAATAACCTAATGTGCAATCTGTAGATTTTTTCCCGATCCATGACTCCAGTGCCGAAGGCACAAAAGAGTTGAGCGGCCATCCACAAAAGAAAAGCGGCCGCATTTCTTGTTAGATAGTGGCTCTGAAGTTTTTATACCAAAATTCTTATCTTGAGTCAACAAAACAATTATTTAATCGATTTATCTTAACATAAAACACAACAAAGAAGTAATATTCTACCCAGTGGTGAATTAAACTAAACTTTGGTTTTAACAAAATAACTTTTCAGCAAAGAAGAAACATCCAGATGTTATCACATTCAAGTTTATAAAGGACAACAAGGAACTACTTGCCTACAGATTTCTTATTCCACAATCTAAAACTGTCACAGCACAAATTACTAATCTTATTCCACCCGAATAATAATTAAGGAGATATTATCATAAACCACGTGACTATATTCTCAGATGTTATCAGTTATACTCACACCTCGTAAATTATTTGTTGAGAAAATATTTAAACGGTTAGAGCTCCCGGTAGATGCATGCCACAGATATTTTCTATTTAAAATTTGTTTCTGGCTATTTTATATGATGTTACAGTATTCTGAGATTTATTTGATTCTGTAGTAACTTTCTAGTAAGATATCAGTGTTTCCCCATGATTTGTTTACTACTAAAATTTAAAAGTAAACGTAAAAATATCCTTTTAAACACCAGTTGAGAAACATACAATGCAGTAATTTTAGTTGGCAATTATTATCTTAAATATTTGTGACAGCACCGCTTTTGATTTGAGTCTTTTCTGAGACGATTTGTGTTTGTTTTAGTTTTTCTGTCGATTCTCTTGATGATCCGGTAAGAGATATCAAACATGTTTTGAATAGTAAATAAGTAACTTTTTGAATGTAAATTATGTTAATTGTTGATAAAGTTTTGGTTATCTGGGCTAAGAAAAGATAACAATGACTAATTATTGATAATTTATTTCACTATCCTAACTGTGTAATTTAGTATATTTAGTTGCGATTGAAAACGTGTGTCTTAAACTTTATTCAAACACAACAACCCATATTAGGAAGATAACTACAACATGTTTCACGTCATCAATTAAGCGGTTAAAAACGTCGTTTAAACGTCATCAATTTAAAGAAACATTGTCTCCACCGTCGCATTCGATATATCTTCCAAGTCTGCTGAATGTGCAACAAAGAGTGCTGTGTGGCAAATCTTACTTTTGCGTAGCGCGCGTCAACGCTTTTATGATGAAACTTTCTGATCACGTACGTTCAGATTTTGCAGCTTGTAGAAATTGAGAGTTTTTGCATTTGAAAGATGTGGCGATATCACAAGCTAATACACTCGAAAGGCTGACGAGTGACGACCTTATTGACGGAGATTTACTACACAGTAGTCTTTCATCCGTGGAGATTTTGTCCTTGATCGGCTAGTTGTGGTCTATGGCAGAGAATGATTGTGTTGGGAATGGGACAGTATGATTTTTCAATTTTCTGCGGCATTTTGACTTCCAGTACCTCAATTTGGTTTCATACTATCATCAATTAACTGACTAATTGGTCTCTGGGCAAAAATTTCATCCAATCTGTCAAATTTGTGTTCAGAAATTTTCATATCTGAAAATGGGACAGAAATTGGAAAATATGAATTTTCGTTTTGTTAAGCTTTCTGCTGTGAGCTTCCTCCGACCTCAATCAAACTTCTAGCTCCTCAATCGGGTCACTTAACATCTATAGTTGAACGACTAATTGGTTGCGGAATGCGGGTGAGAAATTCAGTAACAACTGTAAAATTTTGGTCCTAGAAATTTCATCTTCAAAAACTGAAAATGGGACAGAGAATGGGACAATATGATTTTTCAATTTTCTGCGGCATTTTGACTTCCAATACCTCAATTTGGTTTCATCCCATCATCAATTAACTGACTAATAGGTCTCTGGGCAAAAATTTCATCCAATCTGTCAAATTTATGTTCAGAAATTTTCATATTTGAAAATGGGACAGAAATTGGAAAATATGAATTTTCGTTTTGTTAAGCTTTCTGCTGTGAGCTTTCTCCGACCTCAATCAAACTTCTAGCACCTCAATCGTGTCACTTAACATCTATAATTGAACGACTAATTGGTTAAGGGTGAGAAATTCAGTCAAAACTGTAAAATTTTGGTCCTGGAAGTTTCCTGGAGAATGGGACATGATATGATGTTTAAATTTTCCGCGGCATTTTCACTTCCTCAGTTTGGAGACTAATTGGTCTCTGGGCAAAAATTTCATCCAATCTGTCAAATTTGTGTTCAGAGATTTTCATATTTGGAAATGGGACAGAAATTGGAAAATTTCATCCACGATCCAAACAACTCATACTTTCTTCACATCACGTGCCTAAACACCGATCTAGTTACCATTTATCGTCATCTTCTAACAACACTCCTAAAATCATTTTTGAAGTGCCAGCTGGTAAAGCCTAGTGCACACCCGCGCCAACTTTGGATCGCGATATTCGTTCACCGCCGTCAGGTCAAGTCAGATCAATACAGCAGTAACAACCGTTGCACACGTGGCGAACAATCTGACCTTGACAGCTCAAGTGAGCTCCACGCTCGCGCAAAGCAGCTAAAAACCAATGTCTGTAAGCCTGTGTACAGTGCCAGCGTACCATCTCCGTTCGTCCTATCTCTTCCCCGTTCTTTTCCGCGTTCTAGTATTCCCCTTCGGAAATCGTTTGCTAGCAGTAGCACAGTCTGCTTCCTGGTACCGGGTGGTAAATCTCGTGCTGATGGAGATGGCTCTGGCGGCTCAACACCAACTAATAAAAATGACTCTAGGGAATCCACGAGTCAGGACGGGAAAAACGGAAACGGAAGTGGAAACTCTATCTACAATGGAGGACAGGACTCCTCATCAAGCGGCTCCCAGGACAAAGGGGACAGTGATGATGACGACGACAACCCTAACAAATCTGGTAGTGAATCTTTCAAAGATACCAGCTTCTCAACCGATCATGACAACAAGGATGAAGAATCTGAGGAATCAGATCCCGCAAGCAAAGAACCCGAAAGCTCCATTCCTTCTACGGAGACCCCAGAGGAAGAACTCCCGTCTCTGAATCAAGATAAGAACAACTTTCTCACGAGTACCTTGAGTTCATGTCCCGGAAAGCTCAACTTTGGACCCGAAGAATCAGAAGAAGACCTACGCCGCAGACTAACACCAACAGATGATCATCTCAACTTCTGTGATGAGATAACATCCGTCAGACGGCTGAATACGTTACCGATCATAACAGGGCTAAACGACCCCGTCATCAGAATGAGAAATCTCTCATCATCTCCAGGATACACCTCAGTCAGTCCAGGAGGTGACTCTGCCGAGCTTTGTCGTGACATTTTCCACTGCAAATCTCTCTTCCCAACAGAGCCTGCGAATATCCTATACTGGTCGACAGACAGTGAAGTATCCTTCAGGAAATATGGGATCCACCAACGGGAGTTTTGTCTGTTCAGCTCTCGTTACTACCCATGCAACTCATGGGACACATATGATGCCAAGGAGTTCAAGGAAGTACCTATCCTACTTCAGTGCATGAATCAAATCATCAGCGATCATCGCATCGACGAGAACCCCTCACTCAACAGCTGTGTGGTCGAAAAGATCAAAATGAACGAACACACACCAGAATCAACGGTTTTCCCATCCGACCTTGATTCATACGCAGAGGACAACTCCGTTATGGTAATCCTCTGCCTGGGTCAACAGAATGCGATCGATGTTATACCCAAGTCACACTCTGGATCTTTGCGTGGTAAGGTAGATGCAGGAAGGCTGTCTCCGGATCATGGGGGAGCGGTTTTCTTGTCCAAAGATGCACTCAAACGCTACCAAGTCCGGTCAGGAGTAGGACTCAGTAACTCTCTAAATAACGATGCAAGACCATCTTACAGACTTATCTTTTTTCGCTCGAAAATAGATACTGACGGAACGTTGTTATGGGACAGTACCGATATTCCCAATGAGAGTATCAGATCATCAAGATTCTGCAATACCCTAAGCTACAGAATGGGTCAAGTTCATATATACCAACAAATATTGGACAAGCTTACCCCAGCTGACTTTACTTTGATACTGGATGCCATGGATCAATCCACATCTAGTAGCGACTCCCTGAACGATATGAAAACAAGAACAGAAACTCTCTTAGCAGACCCTTACTCACCCCCCAGCTATGCCGCTGTAAGTGTAATAGTAACTAAGATGAAACCTTAAGACGCGAAAGAGGAGCTAACTGCATGTAACCAGGAAAATAATGGTGTTGTAGCCTTGTTAAGACAGAGACTTTGCCGATACTTAACTAGGGACTCAGACCAGTCATGCGATAAAAGTGGAGAGTTCTTATACTCCCCTGAACCGCCACTCTCTGAAACTGCCCCGGTTCCAAACAGCGTTGTATCTCCTACTGAGTTCTGTTTTACCAGCTCACTGCCCAACGCTAAGGATTTCCTGAGATCAAAACTGGATAAACACTCCTCTACACAGCAAGCATCCAAAACTAAGAGGAAAAGACAACAAGCTGACACCAAGACTGATCTAAGCTTTCAAGGACTTGAAACTTACATTAAATCACTCGAATCAGCTACAGAAAATGAACTCACAAAGGAGCTCGGATTCCTCAAACTGAGCAGTGAAGGAAGCTCAAAAATCAGAAAAAAGAGGATCACTCAACATCTGAAGAACCCTAATCAACTCTCCGCTGCTAGCAGCAGTGCTACATCTGAGCAACTCAACGATGTGCAGAATAGACTGGAAGTGATGGAAAGATCCAATGTGTCAATCAGCTCTATTCTTACTGAAATTAAAAATGAGATGAAAGAGCTAAAGCTCACGATAACAGAAAAGACCTCTGGAGCCAAATCGACTGGAGACTGTCAAATAGCAAGAAATTGTTCAAGTGGCACTGATCTCCTTAAAAGCCTGACAAAAGCTACCCAAGACACCAGTCTGCTCCTCGAAAAATCAGAAAAAGGTCTAAAAGGGCTGACACAAACCCTAAAAGACACTATGACTGTAAAGAAAGATCTGGATGTCTGGCGTCAGAGCGTTTTCAAAAGGGAAGAGAGTGACAAAATCAACGAAATCCATAACATCATTTCGACCCCTAATTTTCAAGAAATCCTCAGTATCAGCCAGTTAGACCCAGGTGCAAATGCTAGCCAAGACCATGTGAGACATATCCTCAGGTCTCCGGCTGACACGAGGACCAACAGGGACACCCCTGGGCTATCACCAAATCAGGGACGATCCTCCTACAGGAGAGAGGGTATAGAACCCAGACAGAGAGACAAGAGAACAGGTGTCTTCCGGGCAGATAGACCAAAAAGAGCAAGTAACCGGCCTGTTCCAAGCCAAAAGAAAATAGTTCTTCTCTGTGACTCAACCATGAGAAGCTTTAAACCTGAAGAGTTTCCGAAAAGATACAACGTCTCTGTAATTTACAAACGGAGCCTGAAAGACCTTCACTCAAGTCTCGAATCAACGGTCGAACAGATTTCCAATCTCAACCCAGATGCAGTGTACGCTCACCTTGGTACTCAGGACATCATAGATGGTACCGAGCCTGACTCCGTGGTGGGATCACTAATAAAGTCTACCGAAAATATACTTAGACAGACTTCGCAACACTGCCAACTTTTCATCTCGCATCCCTTTCTCCGCGACCATCCTGGAGAGGAATGGAGTAAAAGTAGTCGACTCATCACTGAAGCAATCAGAAATCTTAAAGGTGACAGTGAGAAAGCTGATTTCTGGATGAGATCAAGGGAAAACAGAAACAACAACTTCTACTCGGGGGGATCAGATATCCCACACGACTATTTGTTTGTCCCAGATCAACCTCATCTGAAT